GCAATTAAACTTTGAATTTCTGGATTTTCAGGGTATTAGCTGTATTATTTATCCAATTTCTTTTACTGTTAATTAATTGAAGTCCTAGACTAAGAAACAGGATATTATAACTGGTCACAATATTGATATTTGTAGTATACTGCTTAGTTTCTAAGTGTAACTGAATTAATCATATGAATTTTTTGTTCTTTTCAGATAGGCTTAACAAATGGAGCATTCTGTAGAAACGTGGAGATTAGAGTTAATCTCCCAATCACATAATTTGTTATGCGTGAAAAAGGAATGAACTGTTCCATTGGTGGAAGATAGAGATTATTTTTAGATGTTTATCTTTGTGTTTTAGGATTCTGTCCATTTTCTTTAAAATTATAAACATGTATGAATGATTTTTAAAAAGTATTTTGCCATCTTTGAAAGGGTATTTAATGATAGAATACCATCTAGCCAACGTGTACTACATGAAAGATGTCAAAGATATATTAAGTATAAAATGCAGTGGCAAAACACTATGTATAGTATGAGCCAAATCAAGGTGTGTGTGTTTTGTATATGTATAGAACAAAAGATTTGGAAAGATATGCACCAAATTGTTAAATGTGGTTTTCTCTTGGTGGGGGGTGAGGGGTAGGTCCAGAGGGGGTTTGCCAGGGCCTTTCACTTTTTTTTTTTTTTATTTGTTTGTTTCAGTTTTTTATAAGTATGTATTACTTTGGTAATCAGAAATTTTAGAAAGTATTTTACTGATTTAAAGGCTTAGGCATGTTCAAACGCCTGCAAAACTACTTATTGCTCAGTTATATATTTTTAGTTGGTCAATTAATTTCTATTTGTGGTAGAGATGGGGGTCTCTCTCTTGCTCAGGCTGGTTTTGAACTCCTGACCTTGAGAAATCCGCCTGCCTCACTCCCAGAGTGCTAGGATTACAGGCATGAGTTACTGTACCTGGCTAGATGTGTGAGTTTTTTTCAAGGGACAGGGTCTGGCTATGTTGCCCAGGCTGGAGTATAGCACCTTATCACAGGCACAAACATAGAACACTCCAGCCTTGAACTCCTGGCCTTAAGCGATCCTCCTGCCTCAGCCTCTCCAGTAGCTGGGACTATAGGTGCATGCACCACACCCAAATGTGTGAATTTTTAATTCACTATTATTGCTGAATTTTAATATTCATTTTAAAAATAATTAAAAACAACTTTCTTTTTCTGCTATTTGAAGATTAAGAGAAAGCCCCTCCAAAACTGATATTATCATTTCAAAGATACTTTTAATCCATGTTATCACTATTTCATTTGGTAGTTTGCTTATAAATTGTAGAATAAGGCTGGGTGTGGTGACTCAGTTCTTTAATCCCAGCATTTTGGGAGGCCGAGGCAGGAGGATCACTTGAGGCTAGAAGTTCAAGACCAGTCTGAGCAACATAGCAAGACTTTGTCTTTTTTTTTTTTGAGACAGAGTCTCACCTTTGTTGCCCGAGGCTAGAGTAGTGCCGTGGCGCAGCCAGCTCACAGCAACCTCAAACTCCTGGGCTTGTATGGATCTTTCTGCCTCAGCTCCCCCGAGTCAAGATGGGAGCTACAGGCAATGCGCCCACCCGATGCCCGGCTCATTTATATATATCCTCCCGTACCCTACACCCTATAGATATATATATATAATAATATATAGCTACTACTCAGGCTGGCCCAATTAATTTTCTTTCTATTTATAGTCAGAGACGGGTCTCGCTCTTTGCTCAGGCTGGTTTTTGAACTCCTGACCTTGAGCAATCCGATCCGCCTCGGCCTCCCCAAGAAGCTAGGAATTAACAGGCGTGAGCCACAGCCGCCCGGCCAAAGACTTGTCTTACACAAAAATTTTTCTGCAAAACTAGCCGGTGCAGGGGGTGTGCCTGTAGTCCCAGCTACCTCAGGAGCTGGACGCAGGAGGATCACTGGAGCCCCAGGAGTTTGATGGCTGCAGTGAGGCCATGATTGCGCCACTCGCACTCCCCAGCCTGGGTGCAAGAGTCGAGACCCCTTCGTCAAGCATAATAAGTACGAATCAACAGTATGATCTTATTAAAGCTTATGTAGACTTTAACTCATGGTACCCGCTTGTGACAAAAACAAATGTGAGAGCTAACTGCATGGTATACTGGATACCGTACGTGGTTCTCAAAGTCGGAAGTCTGTATCGACTCTGGGAACAGACTACGAAATCCAGGAAATACCCCCCCCTCTTGGTCCCACCTTCAACACCTATTGATATCAGCAACACCTGAGGCTTGCAACTCAGCAGATCTATTTTAACAAGCCTCTACGGTGCGTCTAGATGCAGCGTTCTTTAGCCCGTTTGAAAAACCACTGGAATTATGAACCATGGGGTCTGAATCCAGAAACACACACAAACGCTGAAAACAGCTGTAGATCAAATTGACAGCACGTTCCTACAAATGAATCCCCATCCTCCCACCTTTCTTACCTTTTCCCTATAACTCAACTAAGTGCTGACGCGCAGTCGCTACATTTTCTGCTTGCTAACGCCAGAAATATTGAAGGGCACCTAAAATCGCAACAGCTTGTAGGTCTCTTCTGAGTTCACTTGTCAGGAAAAACTTTCTGCATACACTTTGTGTTGTTGTTTAAGCTGGGACTCACGTCTACTGATTTGTAACTACCTCTTGCATACACTTTGAACCTTTTATAATGGAGAAGCTTTCTTCAACCTTTCCCCTGCTGAGCTCTTGACACAATACCGGCCCTCACTCTTGCTCATTGCGCCAGTCAACCCACTGGTCCCCCATTCAAGCAACCTGATAGAGTGTTACAGCACCTTCTCGACTCCAGTATCTCCTGAAGGCTCCTCAACTCGGCTAGTCCACATAACCACACCCAGCTTGAGACTTCTGCTACACGCCGGCGAACGACCTTTAATTCTAGACAGAAAGCCAAAGCTCAGTGAACACATGTGAGTTGTGAATCTTGGATATGGTACGCATTTCAGAGCGTTGGATGCGAGTCCACGCCTCTCCTCACGCATGCTTATCAATCTCAACCCAGCTAGGTTTGGAAATTCTTTTGGTTCTGAATTATCAAGTACATTGTGGCACAAAAGAACCAAAAGAAAACAGTCGGACTACAGCCAGACTCTTAGGCCCTCCAAAGATCTTCAGATGTTGGTATTAAATCCCCCCACCCAACCGTCAGGTCCTTCAGCCATACGTCCCTACTATGCACGCGAACCATATAAACACAATCTTAAAATACCCGTGAGGTTAATTGATCGGCAGCAATCGCTCGATCTGGTCATCTAACCCAATTCATGATCCATATGGATTGCATCTCTAACGCATTAAAGACACCTGGCCACGTCGAATGTTTAGAGCCAGCGCCAATTCATCAATTGCACGAGGCTGTGGATAACAGCCCATAGTTGCCCATCAATCCCATAGACATGGACTTAATAAAATGTGGTATCATTTGTATATTTGCAAAATCTGTATGGATAGAAATATTGCTGTAGTTTTTATTCCTTGTGGACATCTGGTCACTTGTAAACAATGTGCTGAAGCAGTTGACAAATGCCCCATGTGCTACACAATCATTACTTTCAAGCAAAAAATTTTTATGTCTTGATCTGACTCCACAGTAGGCATGTTATGTTCTTCTTATTATCCTGATTGATTGTGTGATGTGAACCGACTTTAAGTAATCAGCATTGAATTCCATTAGCATTTGCTGCCAAGTATAAAAAAAATGTAAATGGCAATGTCTTAGTTGGCAATCTAAACTTTGAATTTCTGGATTTTCAGGGTATTAGCTGTATTATTTATCCAATTTCTTTTACTGTTAATTAATTGAAGTCCTAGACTAAGAAACAGGATATTATAACTGGTCACAATATGTATTTGTAGTATACTGACTTAGTTTCTAAGTGTAACTGAATTAATCATATGAATTTTTTGTTCTTTTCAGATAGGCTTAACAAATGGAGCATTCTGTAGAAACGTGGAGATTAGAGTTAATCTCCCCAATCACATAATTTGTTATGCGTGAAAAAGGAATGAACTGTTCCACATTGGTGGGAAGATAGAGATTATTTTTAGATGTTTATCTTTGTGTTTTAGGATTCTGTCCATTTTCTTTTAAAATTATAAACATGTATGAATGATTTTTAAAAAGTAATTTTGCCATCTTTGAAAGGGTATTTAATGATAGAATACCATCTAGCCAACGTGTACTACATGGAAAGATGTCAAAGATATATTAAGTATAAAATGCAAGTGGCAAAACACTATGTATAGTATGAGCCAAATCAAGGTGTGTGTGTTTTGTATATGTATAGAACAAAAGATTTGGAAAGATATGCACCAAATTGTTAAATGTGGTTTCTCTTGGTGGGGGGTGAGGGGTAGGTCCCAGAGGGGGTTTGCCAGGGGCCTTTCACTTTTTTTTTTTTTTATTTTGTTCTGTTTCAGTTTTTTATAAGTATGTATTACTTTGGTAATCAGAAATTTTAGAAAGTATTTTACTGATTTAAAGGCTTAGGCATGTTCAAACGCCTGCAAAACTACTTATTGCTCAGTTTTAGTTTTTCTAATCCAAGAAGGCAGGGCAGTTAACCTTTTTGGTGCCAATGTGAAATTTAAATGTTTTTATGTTTTTCCTGCCTTGTGGATGAGAAATATTTCTGAGTGGTAGTTTTCTGACAGGTAGACCATGTCTTCTTATCTTGTTTCAAAATAAATATTTCTGATTTTGTAAAATGAAATATAAAATATGTCTCAGATCTTCCAATTAATTAGTAAGGATTCATCCTTAATCCTTGCTAGTTTAAGCCTGCCTAAGTCACTTTACTAAAAGATCTTTGTTAACCCAGTATTTTAAACATCTGTCAGCTTACGTAGGTAAAAGTAGAAGCATGTTTGTACACTGCTTGTAGTTATAGTGACAGCTTTCCATGTTGAGATTCTCATATTATCTTGTATCTTAAAGTTTCATGTGAGTTTTTACTGTTAGGATGATTAAGATGTATATAGGACAAAATGTTAAGTTTTTCCTTTACCTAAATTGTTTTCTTGACTAGTAATAGTAGTAGATATTTCTGAAATGTTCTCTCAAGATCCTTAAAACCTCTTGAAAATTATAAAATATTGGCAAGACAAGAATAGTTGTTTAAATATTTTTTAAAAACATTTGAATAAGAGTCAATATGGGTAAAAAAATGTAAGTTTGAAAATGCTTCAAGGAACATCCAGGGTTTACAAGACTCTCACAGCAGACCTATTGTAGAGGTGAGTGAGGCATGTTACTGCAGAGAAAAGTTTGATAGTGAAACCATATTTTTGTTGTATTTTCTAAGAGAAGGAGTATTGTTATGTTCTCCTAACCTCTGTTGATTACTACTTTAAGTGATATTCATTTAAAGCATTGCAAATTTAAATGAGAATTTTTAAAATTAAATAATGACTGCCCTGTTTCTGTTTTATTATGTAAATCCTCAGTTCTTCACCTTTGCAGTGTCTTCCACTTAGGTTTAATTATGTAGTCATTAAGTTGAATTTGACTTGTATAACCTAAGATTTAAATTTAAAGCTTCCTACAAGGTAAGAAAAGTGTTAAAATTTTTCAGTTATGTTTTCCAGGACACTACAGCTCCAGGTCAGATAGGTAGTTCAATCTAGTTGTTAGCCAAGAAATCAAAGACTGAATTGTTTTAACCTAAGACTTTTCCTGTTTTGGGAGCCTCAGTTCATTAAAATTCTTCTTTTAAGACCTACATGTTTAGAGTTAAGCAAGACTTTTTTTCTCTCTCCATGAGTTGTGAAATTTAATGCATGAAGCTGATGTGGCTAACAAGTTTATTTTAAGAATTGTTTAGAAATGCTGTTGCTTTGGGTTCTTAAAATCACTCAGCACTCCAACTTCTAATCAAATTTTTGGAGACTTACCAGTGTTTGTCTATGCTCCCACTATAAAAAGCACCGAATCCTTTCCATCTAATCAAGTAAAAATTGATCATTTGCAAGGTTAAAAAATATAACCAGATCCAACTGTGTGCCCCCCCTCCCCAACAACTCTCAGTATCTACATGTGGACATTCCTTTTCTGTATAAAGTTGACTAAGATTTCAAGCAACCACCTATTTGACTACATTTTGGTCATGTGAAGATTCAAGTTGCTTTGTAATAGTTATCTTTATTTGTAATGATTTAGTGTGCTGAAAAGCCTTGTCTTACTTTTTGAGAAATGGGTTTAGCATTTATAGAGTAAATTCCAGTTTATTAATTAATGGCTTTGTATTGCTTTTCCTGATAGAATTGGTTTTTCCCTCTTCCCCTTGGTTGGGGGGTGGGTGACATGGGTTAGGGTAGGTGTAGTGAGTGTATATAATCTGATTTGGCCCTGTATATTATGATATTTTGTGCTTGTTATGTTATTTAAATTTGGTAGTTTTTTCTGTTTTCATTTTAGTGGATACAAATTGTATTTTGAACTCTCTGAATGAAGATTACCACCCCAGCATTAGTTGAATATGTTGTGCCCCTTAGACCCAAATTATTGTTTTATTTCCTGATTACCCAGGTGTTGAATGAGGAAAGGGTGAAAGGGGTGTAGGAGAAATGGGATAGGTTGCATATCATTGCTATTAGAGAAATAAGAAAATAGGAAGGAATATAAAAAACTCAAACTTCGGATAAGTTAGCCAGGCATGGTGGCGCATGCCTGTAGTCCCAGCTACCCGGGAGGCTGAGGCAGAAGGATCACTCGAGCCCAGGAGTTTAGGTGCTGTGAGCTAGGCTGACGCCACGGCACTCACTCTAGCCTGGGCAACAAAGCGAGACTCTGTCTCAAAAAAAAAAAAAAAAAAAGTATCTTTGAAATGATAATATCAGTTTTGGAGGGCTTTCTCTAATCTTCAAATACAGAAAAAGAAGTGTTTTAATTATTTTAAATGAATATAAATTCAGCAATAATAGTGAATTAAAAATTCACACATTTGTGTGGTGCATGCACCTATAGTCCCAGCTACTGGAGAGGCTGAGGCAGGAGGATCGCTTAAGCCAGGAGTTCAAGGCTGGAGTGTTCTATGTTTGTGCCTGTGATAAGTGCTATACTCCAGCCTGGGCAACATAGCCAGACCCTGTCCCTTGAAAAAAACTCACACATCTAGCCAGTACAGTACACTCTGCCTGTAATCCTAGCACTCTGGGTGAGGCAGGCGGATTTCTCAAGGTCAGGAGTTCAAAACCAGCCTGCACAAGAGAGACCCCCATCCTCTACCACAAATAGAAATTAATTGACCACTAAATATATACACAAAAATTAGCCGGCATGGTGGCGCATGCCTGTAGTCCCAGCTACTCAGGAGCTGAGGCAGGAGGATCCCTTGAGCCCAGGAGTTTGAGGTTGCTGTGAGCTAGGCTGACGCCACGGCACTCTAAGCCCAGGCAACAGAGTGAGAGACTCTGTCTCAACACAAACAAAAAAATAAAAATTCACACATCTGGTAATTTTTTCTTCTCTGTTAGAAATACAGAATGAGGTATTACAGGAGAAATGACATTATGTCTAGGTTTAAAGTGTGCCAGTGGTGGATGAGGTAGGGTGGAGGAATCCTAGATGAAACAAGACTGGCAAATGTTGATAATTGTTGAAGGTGAGTACCATGAGTTCATTATCTTCCTTTACACTTTTGTATAATTTGAAATTTCTGTATAGGAAGTTTGAAAATCCATCTTCATAATATTAATGGAAGTGTAGTTGACATGCAAAAAAATGGACTGCATTTAAGACAAGGTTTATCTCAGGTAACAGTGATAACACTGTCAAGAGCAGATAACCAGTTCCTACATATGAGTAGCTCAATACATCTTTTTTTTAGAAAAGTTGATTTTATTTTGAAGTGTTTTGAGGTGTAATTAATATATAGATGCACAATTTGATGAAATTGAACATATGCATACATCCATGATATCATCACCACAATCAGGGTGCTATTATCTGTCACCTCACAAAATTTCTATTTTTTTAAATGCAGGATATTATGGGTACAACTTTTGGTTACATGAAATGAATTTGCTTCACTCAAGCAGGGCTACAAGCATGTCTTCGCCCATACAGTGTGCCCGTTGCCATTAGCTGTGGGGTTTACTCAACTACAAAAAACAATGGGATCTAGCACCTCTATATTATCCTGATAGAGATTGAGCCACCTTTGAAGTGAGGTATCCCAGGATGGAAACATGTACACATGTACTCACCATCAAACTGGTACTAATTGATCAACACCTAAGGTGCTCACATGGTAGTAATATCATGAAATACAACTCTTAATTTAGGATTGCCATTGTGGGTAGGGAATAGCCACTTGAAATATCTACTCTTAAATTCTGTCGCCAAGGATCCTTTATTGCTTGATGTTTATCCCACCAGATTGCTTGTAGCTTATGAAACTCTCTGGTCAGCTGCTTCTACAAACTCACAAAAATCCTTTGCTGCCTGCCTCAAAGGGACAGTGGCTTTATTAGGTTGATCATTTCTTGGGACAACCAAGCCAATCTTATGGAGAGGGGTGTTCCTATTTAAAACATTAAAATTTTGGCACTGACATTAGTGGACTAAAAAAAAAAGAAAATTGACTTTTCATGTTATAGAATTCCAAAATTAAGTGAAAGCCGATGTCTTTTTTTCTCCTTAAAACATGACATGACATGGTATGTACCTTATGCCTGATCCAATGCATAAATATATTTAGGAGGTCACATTTTAGTATTTTAAAGAGGCATTATTTTTCTAAGAAAATGAACAAAATACAGTAATAAAATACATTTAAAGATAGTACTTTATGAATAAGTTTTATTCACAGAAAATAGCTTTAATCTACAAGAATGGCAGATTTACAGCAGAAAGCAATTTTCTTAGTTTTCCATATTGATAGAAAGGTTCCTACTAAATGAAAAAAGCCATAAAATTATATCACAAATATAGTACTCTATCTCAACATTTCACAGGATTATCACAATACTAATACCATGACATAATAATCAGTCATTCTGTCAGGTTAAAGTATAAGTAATGAAAAATGCAAAATCTAACGAAATTACATTAAAGCCTCTGTATTATCAAATCAAAAATGCAAATTTGTACTAAGTTATATACAAAATGGTAATATATAGTATTTTAAATGTTACATTAATGATACATAATAGTAAATTCCAAAATCTATATGATATCTGAAAACTCTAGACTTCAAAATAGAATCTTACACCCAACACATTAATGTCATATTGTCCAATTTGAAGATATAGTCGTCCCTTGGTACTGGCATGGGTGGTTCCAAGGACTCCCCGGAGATACCAAAATCCTGATGCTTAATCACTTTGCATATAACCTATGCACATCCTCCCTTAAACTTTAATATCTTTAGATTATTTATAATGCCTAATACAATGTAAATGCTATGTAGATAGTTTTACACTGTATTGTTTTTAACTTATATTTTTATTGTTGTATCGTTTTACCATTTTTCCCAATATTTTCAATCCTTGGTTGTTGATTCTCAGATGCAAACCTGAAGGCCGGCTGTATATGTATTTAAGATGTCCTATTATATTATTATAGTGTCACTTAATATGTAGTGAAAATTTGGCATAGTGGAAAGAATAGTGGAAAAAATAAACATGTGAGACCTTCCAGGAGAGGTAGCTTGGTGAAATTTTCACCTTCAAACTATGTCCTAGTCAAGGCTCTGCCACTAATTAGCTATTATATCTTTGAAACAAATTACCTCACCTTTGACCTCAGTTGCCTCACTGAAATGAGGGGATGAATTAGACACTCTCTAAGGCACTTCCAGCTCTGACATTCTATGATTTATTATGCTGAAAAAGAAACACTATGTTAAGTGTATTGAACTGACTATTACAGTATATATTGAAACTGATTATGGACAGGGAATAAGCCAATTGTTTCTATTGAGAGCTCAACTAAATTTGAGAAAATTTTTTCATATTTTTAAAAATAAATATTTTAAGGGTCTGACTTATTTATTATTGCAATTTATGTCTTAACTATGAGAAATACCAAAGATGAATAGGAGTCACTGAAAGAGTTACTAAGAATTTCTTCTAAATTTAGCTCAAATTTCAGGTCAAGGTAAAACCCAAAGGGTAAGAGGGTATAGCAATGGGAATTAACATTTATAGCAGAAGCTTTACATATATGATCTCCTGAATCTCATAACCTTGTAAGATAGGTATTACTCTCCATTTTACAGATGAAGAAGTTTGAGTTTTCTTTTAAGCTTTATTTATTTATTTCTTTTTAGCTCCAGTTAATGGAAGA